TACAGAAGGGCTACAGACTTTTGTAGATTAATTTTGTAACCTGTCACTTTACTGAACATGTTAATAATTTCTAGGAGTCTTCTGGTGAAAATTTTGGCATCTCTTAGATATCATATTATCTGCAAAAAGGGATAATTTGTTCTCTTCTTTTCCAATTATTACTCTTCTAATTTCCTTCTCTTGTCTCATTGTTCTTATAAGTACTTCAAGCACTATGTTAAAATGAGTGGAGATAGTGGACAGGCTTGTCTGGTTCCTGATTTTAATGGGAATGCTTCCAGTTTTTCTCCATTTACAATGATGTTGGCTGTGCATTTTTTTGTATCTGTCATTAACTATGTTGAAGTATGTTCCCTCCAGTCCAATTCCCTCTAGGACTTTAAACATAAATGTATGTTGGATTTTGTCAAAGACCTTTTCCGCATCTATTGAGATGACCATGTGATTCTTGTCTTTGAGTCCACTTATATGATTTATGATGTTTATTGACTTATGTACATTGAGCCATCCCTGTATCTCTGGGATAAAGCCGACTTGAACATGGTGGATGATCTTTTTGATGTGTGCCTGTATGGGGTTTGCAAGTATCTTGTTTTTTGGTTGTATCTTTACCTGGCTTTGGTATTAGAGTGATGCTGGTTTCATAGAAGGAATTTGGAAGTTCTCCCTCCATTTCTATATTTTTGAATAAATTAAGTACTATTGGATGCAGATATTCTTTAAATGTCTGAAAGAATGCTGCTGTAAATCCATCTGGTCCTGGGCTTTTTTTTAGTGGGGAGGTTTTGTATTACTGTTTCAATTTCTTTTTGTGTTATGGGCTTGTTTAAGCTGTTAATCTCTTCTTGGTTTAGTTTTGGTGGTTCCCATGCCTTTAGATATCCGTCCATATCTTTTAGGTTTTCAAATTTAGAAGCACATAGATTTTTAAAGTATTCCCTTACAACGTTCTGTATCTTTCTGGTGTCTGTTGTGATGTTTCCCCTTTCATCTCTGATTTTGTTGATTTGGAGGTGCTCTTTCTTTCTTTTGGTTAATTGGGCTAGCGGTCGGTCAATTTTGTTTATCTTTTCAAAGAACCAGCTCTTGGTATTGTTGATTCTTTGTATTGTTTTCTTTGATTCAATTTCATTGATTTCTGCCCTGATTTTTGTTATTTCTTCTTGTCTGCTGGGTTTGGATTTCGTTTGCTGTTGCTTTTCAAGTGTGTTGAGTTGCAATGTTAAGTCATTTATTTGTGTTCTTTCCGATTTTTTGATGTAGGCACTTAGAGCTGTAAACTTCCCTCTACGGACCGCTTTCAGCGCGTCCCAGAGGTTTTGTTGTGTTCTATTGTCCTTTTCATTTAATTCCAGGAATACTTTTATTTCTTTCTTAATTTCTCTTTTGACCCATTCATCATTCAGGAGTGTGTTGTTTAATCTCCATGTGTTCATGTGGTGATTAGGGCTTCTTCGGGTGTTGATTTTGAGCCTTA